AGTGGGCTTGGAGACAGACAGACAGAGCAAATCGATCAGATAGGATGTGGCACGTGACCTACATAACACATAACAGATATAAACTTGAAGCGCATGTTCTAATTGTACAAAACTTATCTCATTGGCTCTTAGTGTGTTTCTAATCTCTTACCCTCACTAGAGAGTCTTAAACATGGCCTAGGATGGAATGATGATGCAAAGATGCGCTTTAAAACACTTTTTAAAATTTTGCTGAAACAGGGGTCCCGCTCGAGCATGGCCTTTTATGCTCGAGCGGACATGCAGACAAAAGGAATTCGCTCGAGCGTGTATTACTCCGCTCGAGCGGACTGCAAGCTACAGTAAAAGTACTAGATGCATGAAATTCACACTCGATGGGCGCTTGATACCCGCTCGAGCGTGAGACACAAGTCCTCGCTCGAGCGTGCATTACCCCGCTCGAGCGGACTGTAAACATAGGCAAAGTACTGGATACACGAAATTCCCGCTCGAGCGTAACCTTCCCCGCTCGAGCGTGAGTCCAAAATCTGGAATTTCTAGATTTGAACCTCAACCTCAAAACTCAACTACAATGCATCAAATTCGATCCTTTTGGGCTAATTTTCTGGAAAACTCTTGTAAACTCATAGTATGACATGTTTTGAAGATCAAATTTGTAAAATCAAGCCCAAAGGTAAGTCAGTTGAACACAATTTCAACATAAACTTCAAGAACATGAAGAACAATGCAAATTCAACACATGCATGGGTTCCTTGAAGCTCCAAAGTTCTAAAACAAGATCAAATGTAAGATTTAACTTCAAAACATGGTGAGTTCATGGACTATAACAAAAATGTGGACATGCATGCAAGAATTTCTATGAAAACAACCTCAAACTTCATGATATACACATGCATGCAAGAATTCCTACTCAATTCAACATTTAGAACCAAAACTTGACTCTAAACTCTAGTTCACCATGAACCATGCAAGAAGTAAATCAAAATCACAATGGAGAAGATGAATTCTCTACCTTATATCTTCAATTTCAAGTTTAGGAGCTCAAATTACGCAATTCTTCTACAATTCTACAAGTTCCAAGCCAAAACTTTGTTGAACTCAATTTTCTCCTCTCTCACTCTCCTACATTTTTCTTGGTCCCAAAAATGGCTGAGGAAATGAATCAAAAGCTCCTAATCAAAGATTGAACAAAGTGGCCCACTAAGGGGCAAAAATGTAATTACGAGCATTCACTAAGTCTATGTTTCATCTAGCATTATTTAATCTAATTTAATCATTCCAAATCACATTTCAACTAAATTTACCATAAATTCACATAAAATCTAACTAACATAAAACATTAATCAATTTCAGAATCGGGCGCCGATAAGGCTTTCAATTCGTAGTTTAAAGTCAAAGACATGAACATACCATTTTATGGCAAACAGATAGAAACACATAAATAATGCAATACGCATGCAATTAGATCCCAAATCCTTCCTAAATTACTGTTAAGCGTAATTAATCATGAATTAGCATTAATCGGAGGTCGGGCTTATTACAGGTCGGGTCAAAACCATAATCGCTATAGGAGAATACTTTCGGTGAATGAGGACGAAAAACGGCCATCGATGACAATGTTGTTTTCTGCCGGCAACAATAGAGAAAATGGGCGGGAATAGTGTGGAAGTTCTCTTCTCTGTTTGAGGTTCCAAATTGTCAAAAACATGATTGTTTCTTTTTTTTCTTTTTCGTTTTGGTATAATATGTGAGTGGGTCTCACTCCTTGTGATATGTTGTGCCAGCTTGATTTTGGGTGAAGTCTAGGAATTTAGGTGACGTTTGTTTTGTCGCTTGGAAGGTGAGATTGGACTAGCATGCATGTTAGGTCATGTTTATTTGGCTTCGGAATTAAGAGTATAGTAAAATTGAGTGAGAAGATTATTAGTATGGTAGTATTAAATTATAGATGTAGGATAAAAAAAAGTTTACTTGTATACCACCGGATTAGTAATACTATAGATAGTATTAATATATTTTAATTTTTAGTATTTTTTAATATTATAATTATTTTTTTATTCTAAAATATATAAATTTTGCATAAAAATTATTTAAAAATTTACTAATCCCCTCACTTAATTTCTAATCTCAATCCCACCATGGGATTGATAGTCATACCAATAAGGGGATTATTAGTTCAAGGGGATAGTTAATCCCCATTCATGACCCCAACCAAATACTCTATATAAATAAGTTTCACCGACTATTAATCTAATTCTTCTTTCTAAAGAGTCAAACAAACTTGGCCATTGTTCTTGGGACTGGCTTCTCTCTAGTCTGATCTGGGACTGGAGGGTGCTATTGGGCCCGTGGGGGCTCACCAAAGGTTCCGTTTTGATAATTCGAATCGTTCAATGTGCAGAACTCGTCGAGTATTATATGTCTGTTAAAAATCACATTGATCAAATATCGATAGCTATTTCATTGGATCAGATTTTTGTCAACCGTTTATTTTTTCACCGTCCATTTTTTTTTATACAAAACTGATTTGATCATGTAGTTATCGATATCCAATCAACGTGATTGTTTACGAACATATAATACTTAACGAGTTTTACATATTAAACGGCTCAGATTATTAAAACGGAACTCGTGATAGGCCCCTACAAGTCTAACAATACCCTCCAATCTGATCTGGGACCGGAGGAAGCTAGACCGTGTTCTTTTGCTCATTGAACTGTAGCAACAAGCAACCCATCAATGAGCACGTGGGATGAAAAAAAAAAAAAAAAAATCATGAAACTAGCGTGTAGTGTCTCGCTAAATGTGTTTTGTTTTGTTTTTTTTGGTTTTTTTTTTTTGAACTTGTTATTTTTATATTTATAGAAAAGAATATTTTTAGAATTTTTTAAATTTTTTTATGAGCTTTCAATAGAATTTGGGTTGTATGTTTGGTTATGAATTGTAAATTTTTGAATCAAATATCATATGGTACATCATTTATTTCAAACTTAATTCAAAAACTCTTTTCAAAACTCATAATCAAACGAATTTTTCACATTTAAATCATAATTCAAAAACTCACAAACTCAAAATACAACTCAATTCTTAAATCATAATTCTAAAACTCTACCAAACGCTGGCTAAATTTTTCCAAAGGGATTATTGTTAGTTTTCCCAAAGAATGGAATTAGCAATCGCACAATGCATTCCCATGCAATTAGAAGCAAAATGACACGATTAGGCCCGTTTTACAAAAAATAACCTTTTGTATAGCGAGAATTTTTATTTAATTTCATGAATTTAATTTTAACCAACTAATTATATTAGTGCACAAATAAATATAATTTATTTTTTAATCTAATTTAATCCTATCACTTAATCATATTATACTCATAATTATATCTAATTTAGGCCTAGTTTGGGAAGACTAAATAAGTGCACTTTTTGACTTTTTATAAAATATGAGTTGAGTTTGGGTTGGGTTTGAAGTGATGTGTTAGAGAGGTGATGTGACTTAAATAAGATGATGTGACTTAAATAGGATAGTGACTTTTTGACTTTTTATCTTTTTTCAATCATGCCAAACTTAACTTTAATTTGAAGAGCAAACATGCCTATCTTTAAGAAAGGTCACGGGTAAAATTTGGATTGTATTAGATTGGATTGGATTTCTATAGCGTCTCACCCCATATCTTATGGAGGATGTGGAAAATCAAATTAATGGCAAGTGTGAGGCGGAAGCAGGCCGGGGGTAAAAGGTAAATTTTATAACTTAAAAAATATAAATATTAATAAAAATAATAAATAATATAATATTTTTTGAATAATGTTTTACGATTAATTAAAGTTAAAACGTGCATGAAAAATAAGTAAGTTAAGATGAATACAATGTGTAAAATTTTGAATTTTGAATTTTATCATTGTTTTTAAATCTTTACCAAAATTTATGCTCAAACAGATAAAAGGTAAAAAATTATCCCAAATACAGTTTATATTTTAATAAAAAAATTTAAAAATACTAAAATAATTGATTTCCAATTTAAATGTAAACTTTGAGATATGATGTTGATAATAAAAGATGGACGAATTATACTAACGGTTCCTATAGTTTGAGGTTTGTATCACTTTGATCCCTAACTTTTTAATTATGATACATTTGACTATAAATTTTGAATCTTGTTTCAAATAAAGACAATTGTAGATACTATTGCTTAATTTTAAGGGCAAAATTGTCAATTTGATAAAATATAAATTAATTTGACAAAAATAAATGTCAAAAAAATATTTTTGATTTTTTAAAAATTATTTTTACCCACTACAGATAAAATTATGTAAAATTGATAAATCTTTTAGATATTTATTTATTTATTTATTTATTTTACTAAATTAATTTTTATTATGTGTTTGGATGATGATCATATAATGAGTGATTTTTTTCCCATTAAATTAGTTTATATTTTTTCAAAATTCAAATATGGCGCCAATTTTGATATCATTATTAAACAAATTGATTAAATCAAAAAATTAAAAGTTAAAAACATTTCATATATTAAATATATTGATTTTACATTAAAATCTTAACAACCATCCATTACATGATCATCATCCAAATACATAATAAAAATTAATTTGGTAAAATAAATAAATAAATGTTTAAAAGATTTATTAATTTTACATAATTTTATCTTTGGTGGGTAAAAATAATTTTTAAAAATTCAAAAAGATTTTTTTTACATTTATTTTTGTCAAATTAGTTTATATTTTATCAAATTGACGATTTTATCTTAAAAAATTAAGTAATAGTATCTTTAATTGTCCTTATTTAAAACAATATTCAAAATTTAAAATCAAATATATCATAATTAAAAAATCAAAAATTAAAATGATATAAATCCTAAAGTATAAGTATAAAGACTTTAGTATAAAAAAATTTTGTGCCCACAAACAAACACACCTTTGGGGGTTTACTTGTGCTTTTATGGATGAATTTTGGGCATAGAAATCAGCGTAGTATGATAGTATGGTAGCTCGCGATGTACACAAAACAGCAACTGGATAGAAGGACGGATCATTGCAAATTTGCAATGGATAACAAAAGCAGACGACAACCAGCAACAGTCGAAATATCTTTCTAGAGAACCATGGAAGCAACCACCATACCTTTCTCAACCCTTACTTGCCGTCATTTCTCTCGTACTTGTTCTTCTTATTCTTCACCTTCACCCCCAACCCACAAAACCCTCATTTCCTCTTCCAATTCAACAAAATCAACCACCGTTTGCTCTTCCTGGGCACCTTCAACTCTCTCTATTGCCTTCTCTTCCAGAAATTCCTTCACCGTAAGTCCCATTTCAACTTCAACTTCTTTATTTTATTTTTTTAATGTATTTATGTGGGTGGGTATACGATGATTTTTGTTTTGGCAGAGAGAGATATGGGGGTTGGTGAACTCAAAGAATGTTGTTACTGTTAGAAGAGAAATGCGAGGTCTCATCAAGGCAGAAATGTTCGGACAGCTAACGACTGGCCTCGAAGCAGCCTGGAACAAGCTCAAAGGAGAAGGTTTATTTATTTATTTTTTACTTTCTAAATTTTAGTTTTTATTCTCATGTTAGATACATTTGTGTATATACGTAGTGCTGACTTGTTCATTTAGGCTGTGTTTGGTTGATGGATTTTTGAAGGAATTTGGAAAAAGAAAAGTAGGTGAAATGTAGTTATATTTTATTCATATTTCACCGAAGTTTTTTGCATTTCTGTTTCCAAATTCCTATCCAAATCTATGAACCAAACACAGCACTAAGGTTTCTCCTTTTCTCCTCTTTTTGGTACATTAGACAAGGAGGAGGAATCGAACCATGACCTGTTTTCTTTTATAAAAATGTTATGTAGTGTACACATTTTTTGGTTATATATATATATATATATATTTGCCCTTGAGGTTAGAATCTTGGGTTATAGCGGACCACGGTCACCACACCCAACTAATTAGGATTAAGACTAGTTTAATTTACTTGAGTTATGTGTGATGCAGTTGGTTAATTGGTTAATCGACTCAAAAGAGTGCTCTGGACAATAATTTTATTTCGGTGATTTGGTTCATGATTCATTAGAAATTAATGTTAGAAGTTATTGTAGTTTCACTGTCAATTGGCATTTGAATGTGTGGCATCTTCTCTATGAGTCCCATTTTTGGGCTTTCCCTCCAAATTGAAGTTGCAGATCGCAGCCATACTACCCGGCAGGCAGTTAGGGAGGAAACTCAGGAATAATTTTATGAAGAGAATCTCAGTTTAATGACCAGTGAGGTTGTGGAGTGAAACAAAGAGAGCCAGTTAATATTGGTGTACATGATTGGGGAAGTTAAAAGGGAAAACATGTGTTCTTCATGAAGGAGCATTTTCTTTGTTTTCAGTTCCAAAATAACCAGCAGTAAGGTTTAGAATCTAAAATATTGCAGCAGCTTACAGTAGTTCGATTGGTTTTAGGAAAAAGCTTTCATTTTCCAAACCAATTGTTAGTGTTTATGAATCACCTGTCAAAGGGTATGGCTTGTCACTCTGGGAGCAAAGTAAAAATCCCAGACCATATATGGTGTAGTCTGGTTGGTTGAAGAGAGCCTGTGAAATTCAGGTTAAAAATATTGTATAGTGTTTGTGTACTACTGAAAGTAGTCCTATAAATGATTCTTCCTATACAAATTTCAACACTTTGAACATATAAACGTGCAAAATTTACAAATTTTGTCTCTTCTGTCTTGTTAAAATTTGGAGCATGACAGGTCTTAATTCAATAAGAATTGTAAATTCCTTCTCTTTTCAGTTGTCCTTGAGGTACCTACATTTCCCTTAATGCTGAAACAGACTTTCATTTTCAATTTAACTTCTTTTCTTGATGCACTTTGATCAATTATGCTGTCAAGGACTACAACATTAGTGTCAAATGATCTTACGATCCTGATTTATTTAAACTTACCCAAGAAGTGTTTGTACTAAAGATGGTTCCTTGGTGTTACACCTTGGATTTACAAAATCTGACCCACGATAATTAATTATCATAAATAATAACGAAAAGACAATATCGAATATAATCAAAAGGCCTCTCTTGTATATATATATATATATATCAGTGTCATTCAGTACATGAGGTTTTCCAAATACATACATTCTATATTCAACATCTAGGTGAAGTGAATATACAATATGTAATTCAAAAGGAATAACAATAAACGTAAGTAAAATGCCATTAGGTTTACATCAAAGAAAATGACGTAACCGTTACAAAATATGGCACTCAGCCTATACAAAAAGGGCCCAAGACCAACAAATCAAAAGAACTCTCTCTTAGGGTATGCACACATCCTATGCCTTGCCTCAATGCCGAGGCACATTATCAACATTTGAAAAAGATTTCAACCACGTAGGGTGAACATATAGTCCAGTAAATAACCTTTCACATGGTAATATATACATGCACATGATCATGATACTACATATGTATAATATGTTCAAAATGGTTTCTCGTTTCATAAAATGTCCATATCAATATCAATGACCAAGAACCAAACATTTTCATTAAGATAACATTTCTCCATTTCATTACTTTTAACCCAGTAAATCCTCTCAAGTACATATAACTGCCAGTGGTCATCACTAAGCACCACCTAAACTAGTGAGCTATCAGAAACAACACTTTGCCAATAACCATCGCTAAGTGTCACCTAAACCCTGCCAACTTTATTGGTTTCTAACCGGAAGGAATTTGGTACCTACACTCTGTGTGTTTTTGAGCCAAATTATTCTCATTCGCATTCTCATCTGTACATGATCCAAATTCACCACTTTCATTCAAATAAAACCATGATGTTTAAATGCAATAATGCAACATATATCATTATTCAATTCTAATGAAGTATGTCAACACACCTTTGTCCAACAATGGGTTTTCATTTCATGAATTCAACATTTCACTTTGCAATAAAAACAGTTTTTTTGTCATTCTATTGTATCAATCTCTACAATAATGCCATTATCCACCAATGGCCATTGGCCAACAACAATCTCTAACAATGCTATAATTTCATAAATCATACACTTTCATTCCCAATTTTCTCATTTCATGTAATTTCACAAACTAGAAAGCACCCTTTGATTTAGTTTTTGAATCATGACTTGAGTTTTGAGTTTTTGAAATAAGTTTTGAAAAGAGAAAATTTGTTTAGGTATGAGTTTTGAAAAGAGTTTGAGGTTTGAGTTTTTGAGTTGTATTTTGAAATTTTTTAGGTTTATTTTTTTTTAAATATTTAAAAATTTTGTTAATTTTATTTTTTTTAGGATTAATATTTTTTTAATGTAAATATTTATTTATTTAATTTTCTAATATGTGCTGTATTTACTACATTGGTGCGCTGTATTTTTTAAAATATTTAAAAATTTTATTTTAAACATATAATTTTTATTTTAAATATTTTTAAAAATATTTTAATATTTTAAATATTTTAATTTTTTTTTGAATTTTTTTTTGAAATATTTAATTTATTTTTAAATTTAAAAAATTTTTGGATCGCCCATGTATATCTAAATCATAACAAATTATTTGGCCAATACTTAAAAAAATAACAAAATATTTTTTTCTAAAAAATAAAAAATATTTTTCTTCAAAAATAATAATAATAAAAAAATTTTGGAAAAAAAATTTTGGAAAAAATATTTTTCAAAAAAAAAACCTAGCCAAACCAAACAAAACCAAACAGTATTTTGAGGTTTTTTAACAAACTCAACCTCGAGCTCGAACTTATTAAAAATTTAACGAACTGAGCTCGAGTCGAGTTGGCTTAGGCTGGACTCGAGATCGAGCCTGTTCACAAGCCTTAACGAGCCAAAAAATTTATAAATTCATACTTGCATGTGAGACTAAAATTACAATTAAAACTTTGATTATACAATTATATATACAATATATATAAACATACTAAAAAAGTTCAAATTCTCCTAAAATAATAATATCTACTACCACTATTATATAAATGTACTATCTATAGTTAACTATTATTTACATTTATATTTTTTAAATATATAAATAGCATATTTCTATTATTTTTTATACATATTTTTATATTATTTAATATATAAATAATAAATATTAAACGAGCCAACTAACGAGCCGAGCTTACGAGCCTAGCTTTAGAATGTTTGGGCTTGTTTATTAAAAATTTAACGAGCTCGAGCTCGAGCTCGAACGCAAAAAAAAAAATAACGAACCGAGTTCGAACGAGCTTTTACTGAGCCGAACTCGAGCCCATTTACGAATGACTCTGTTTATTTGCAGCCCTAGTTACCACACATCCCCACCTTAACATCCTCATTTCAGCAACACTCATCTTATTTACATGTTTTTTAGTTGCCTAACATTCCGTCCCATACAACATCACTGGTCTAATAGTCGTTCTATAGAACTTCCCTTTTAGTCTAATGGGTACTCGTTTATCGCACAGTACTTTAGACGCACTTCTCCACTTAAACCATCCCGCCTTAATTTTGTGGACCACATCTACTCCAATCTCTCCAGTCGTTGTGATAATTGATCCTAAGGCCTCGTTTGGCAAGAGGTTATTTTAGTCAATTAGTCAAAAAGTTACTAAATTAGCCAAAAAGCCAATAACTCATACCAAAAAGTCAAAGATTCTCTTTTCTTTCTACTTTTTGCACATCTTTTCGTAATTAGCCAAAAAGTCATCCCAAACATACAAGTTTTTTTTACTTACCTTTTTAGCCAAATAGCCAAAAAGTTACTAAATTAGCCTGTTCCCAAACGAGGCCTAAATAACGAAAATAATTTTTTTTGATAAATAAATAAATTTTATTGAAAGAGCATCAAGATGATGCAAAAATACAGGACTTAAAAAGTATAATTACCAACTCCTAACCAAGAATGTCATCTAAAAAATCTAAAAAAATAAACAAATCCGGATCAAACTTTCGTTCCAGCCAACTATCAAGACTATAAGAAGGAGACTCTCAAGCCAAGAAGCACAATGGTGAAGCTCTTGAAAAGTGCGCCGATTACGCTCTAACCAAACTAACCACATCAAAGACCATGCACGCCATCACCGGTGACCCACCCGAGCAACATGCCAGCTCCACAACATGTCCATCACTCTCTGCGGCTGAACCCAAACAATCCCAAAAAGAGAGCAAATGAGTCCCCACAACCGACTAGCCATAGAACAATGCAAAAACAAATAATCCACTGACTCCGCATCTGCACAACACATACATCATCGATTCACAAGAACATGACCACGCCTCACCAAGTTATCAATCGTAAGATTTCGCTCTAAGGCCGCCATCCATATGAAGAAAGCCACCTTTGAAGGAACCCCCGGCACCCAAATACTCCTCCAAGGAAAATCCCTCCTCACCTCTCCTACCAAACTCTGATAGTAAGACGAAACAGAAAAACACCCCTTAGCCCCCATAACATTCCACCCCAAGGCATCCTCCCCTACCTCAGTCACACCCAACCCATACAAATAACCCCATAATTCTAGCAATTGCTCAACC